AGTATGTAGTCTCTACTTTAAAGAGTCCTCTCCTGCTGATGTTCAGGTGTATATCAGTATGTAGGTCTCTACTTTAAAGAGTCCTCTCCTGCTGATGTTCAGGTGTATATCAGTATGTAGTGTCTCTACTTTAAAGAGTCCTCTCCTGCTGATGTTCAGGTGTATATCAGTATGTAGTGTCTCTACTTTAAAGAGTCCTCTCCTGCTGATGTTCAGGTGTATATCAGTATGTAGTGTATCTACTTTAAAGAGTCCTCTCCTGCTGATGTTCAGGTGTATATCAGTATGTAGTGTCTCTACTTTAAAGAGTCCTCTCCTGCTGATGTTCAGGTGTATATCAGTATGTAGTGTCTCTACTTTAAAGAGTCCTCTCCTGCTGATGTTCAGGTGTATATCAGTATGTAGTGTCTCTACTTTAAAGAGTCCTCTCCTGCTGATGTTCAGGTGTATATCAGTATGTGGTGTCTCTACTTTAAAGAGTCCTCTCCTGCTGATGTTCAGGTGTATATCAGTATGTAGTGTCTCTACTTTAAAGAGTCCTCTCCTGCTGATGTTCAGGTGTATATCAGTATGTAGTGTCTCTACTTTAAAGAGTCCTCTCCTGCTGATGTTCAGGTGTATATCAGTATGTAGGTGTCTCTACTTTAAAGAGTCCTCTCCTGCTGATGGTCAGGTGTATATCAGTATGTAGTGTCTCTACTTTAAAGAGTCCTCTCCTGCTGATGTTCAGGGTATATCAGTATGTAGTTTATCTACTTTAAAGAGTCCTCTCCTGCTGATGTTCAGGTGTATATCAGTATGTAGTGTCTCTACTTTAAAGAGTCCTCTCCTGCTGATGTTCAGGTGTATATCAGTATGTAGTGTCTCTACTTTAAAGAGTCCTCTCCTGCTGATGTTCAGGTGTATATATGTACGTAGTGTCTCTACTTTAAAGAGTCCTCTCCTGCTGATGTTCAGGTGTATATCAGTATGTAGTTTATCTACTTTAAAGAGTCCTCTCCTGCTGATGTTCAGGTGTATATCAGTATGTAGTTTATATACTTTAAAGAGTCCTCTCCTGCTGATGTTCATGTGTATATCAGTATGTAGTGTCTCTACTTTAAAGAGTCCTCTCCTGCTGATGTTCAGGTGTATATCAGTATGTAGTGTCTCTACTTTAAAGAGTCCTCTCCTGCTGATGTTCAGGTGTATATCAGTATGTAGAGGTCTCTACTTTAAAGAGTCCTCTCCTGCTGATGTTCAGGTGTATATCAGTATGTAGTGTCTCTACTTTAAAGAGTCCTCTCCTGCTGATGTTCAGGTGTATATCAGTATGTAGTGTCTCTACTTTAAAGAGTCCTCTCCTGCTGATGTTCAGGTGTATATCAGTATGTAGTGTCTCTACTTTAAAGAGTCCTCTCCTGCTGATGTTCAGGTGTATATCAGTATGTAGAGTCTCTACTTTAAAAGAGTCCTCTCCTGCTGATGTTCAAGTGTATATCAGTATGTAGTGTCTCTACTTTAAAGAGTCCTCTCCTGCTGATGTTCAGGTGTATATCAGTATGTAGTGTCTCTACTTTAAAGAGTCCTCTCCTGCTGATGCTCAGGTGTATATCAGTATGTAGTGTCTCTACTTTAAAGAGTCCTCTCCTGCTGATGTTCAGGTGTATATCAGTATGTAGTGTCTCTACTTTAAAGAGTCCTCTCTCCAAGGTCCTTCTTTGTTTTCTGTAATGTAGCAAATGTAGGAAGGAACAGATTTATTCACATCATGTTGTTGTCACAGAAAATATAAACTTATATAAAGCTTAAAAACAGATCAATAAAGTGAAATAACCCTTTGGTTAGCTTTAGTAAAACAAACTGTGAGATTACTAACATTTATGAAATATGCTTTATCTGATATTTGCAGTAGTGGGGTGGGGTTACAAACGCTACATTAATGTAATAGTTAAGTTATTCGTGTAAAATGTATGCATTATAAGAAACTTCAGAGTGTGGATATCCATTGCGTGGCCTTGGCTCGGATCTGCCAGACCTGCTCTGCCCTGATCTGCTTCTAGCTGTTAACGATCTAGCAACCATATCGTTTGTGAGAAGTGTCCAGTGTTCCACATCTAACTTGTTGTGTTCGTATTGAGAGCACCATCCAGGTGCTTATAGTGCATTGTGCCATACATAGGGAAGCACTGATAAACAGCACCTAATTCTGATTCTTACCCTCCATGGTATGTCTGGAAGGCCTGCCAGCTTCACAATCAGCTGCATTGGCTTGATTGTGTTGACATTGAACTGTATTCCAGAAATAACATGTCAACCAGTTTTCTGCTATTTCAGGCGTAGGGTGAAGTGCCAGGGCCAGCATACAATACAATACAGCTTTGTGTGTAAAGCACTTTAAAACCTCCAGACCGAAGTGCTGGAAAGTCAAATAAACAAACAAACATACAAAAAGTAACACAGCTCAGCGCACACACCATAAAACAAGTACAAGTACACACAATAGACACTTTAAAAGCAACACTCTAAAATATGTTAATACGCTAAGGAGAAGAGGTGGGTTTTAAGAAGCGATTTAAAAGCGGCCTGTCTGATGTGCAGGGGCCATGGATGTATAATAAGAACTGGATACAGCGTGGGAGGCGGGGCCTCATTCATTCCTATGAGAGCTGCTCATTGGCGCATGATGATAAAATGGCCCAACTTTTGAGAGAGTGAAACGTCACAGATTACCCGGCATGCCTGAGAAGTACCCGTATGTGCTACTCATAGCGCATGCGCAACTTTAACCAAAATGCTCGTTCACATCAAGCACGTCAATTTGCGTACACGTAACAGCACCGCGCGTTCATGACAGCATGGTAATGGATTGTTGTTATCATGGATTTGATATGAACGAGGCGGCAGTTAGCAGCTAGCGGCTAGCTAGTAATGATCTAGTGATATCCAACAGAGCTTCATTTAGCATGAAATTATTATTGCACTGTATATATATATATTTATATACAGTGCAATAAGCTTCTTAGTGCAATACGAAGCTACAGGGACGTTAATAATGTCGGTAATATTAACTTTATTTAATACAACATTTACGGTACAAGATTTAATCATTCAGCCCATGTAGTATGATAATGAATTACAGCAAACATGTGCAATATATCCATTATTACAGCTCCGTGGGATGGCAGTGAGACGATATGGATCCGTTCTTATTGTGCATCCATGGGTAAAGATAAACGCAACTCACATTGGTTCCTCATACAGCATCTCTGTAAACTACGTGTATTCACTGAATTTCACTCTCTGTCTTTAACGGCTCGTTGTAGCTCCAAAAGCTCCAGCCCCCACCCTGTGAGCACAGTGTGCTCTGATTGGTCGGGACACGTAACATGAACGTGCCGGGCGGCGCGGTCCCGTGGATTAGATGCGCGTTCATAATGCAGAGGGAAATAACTCTCAGAATAACGTTATTAGCACATTTTTACAACTTGAGGAACGAATGTTTTTAATAAGGGCTATACAAGTGTTCATACTGGGTAGTTTATTTAGTTTAAAATAAATTATCCAACGAGTTATTGACCACTCTTTCCCCATGTAAGTCAATGGGAAAAAGTGTTTCCGGGCCTGGCAACCAAACGGAAGTGTAGTACCGCCGTTTGGCCAGCACGAATATTTTCATCTGAGTCCGGCGCACTACCTGGGGGCTTGGCAGGGGCAGATTGTTCCACAGTGTGGGAGCCGCGACAGAGAAGCCACCGCCCCCTCTGAGCTTTGACTGGGGTTGCGTTCCGATAATCCAAAAATCAGCTCCTAAATTCTAACCCTATCTCCTATTCCTTGACCTCTGAGTGAAAGGTCACGGGGTTAAGGGATAGTGGATAGGAGAATTCAAAAGGACTTAGGAGAAGAGACTGCGGTGCTTTAGAGAATCGACTGCACTTTCACTATCCCACGTGTTTCTGATGCGCCAGCAGACGTCCTGAATGTGCGTCTGCTGCTGTGGGGTAACCTATGGAGACTACAGTTCTCTATACAGAGGACTACAACATGGATGTTCAATAAGAACGAGGGACTCCTGTGAACTCATCTAGAGACTCTGTGCTCTGACGCTGTTGCTTTATGCTTTATGAACGTGGACAACAGAGAAACAGATTCTTCAGGACCAAAGCTGGAATTGAAATAAAAAGGAAAGTGAAACTTATGCTCGTCCCCCTCTCCCTCCGGTCCTCATTAATACAAATGATCCCAATACGTATGATTGATGAAAAGATCTTAAATCAATACAGATGTATTTATTATAAACGTTAGTCCTTAACATCTATCTCTGTGTATATCACCATTCAAACATCTTTTAAAAGTTGAACAAACCCCACAGCTCAGTAAAGACTGTGAGATGTTGACTTTATTTGATCATTTCAGTAAAAACTAACGTTCATATTTCTCTCTTTGATTATAATACTGATGAACGTTCAGAACAAAGCACTTTGGCAACTTACCACATACGTTTTAAAAAGCTTAATAAGCACCGTAACTTTCATGATATCATTTCTCCGTCATAATCGGTTGTTTCCGTGAACGGCCGACTGTTGAGTGACGGCAAATGCTGCGGCTGCAATGCATTGTGGGGCAGCATTTTCTCCTCTCCTCTCGGTTAGGGAGGTCCAGTGGTTCCTAAGCTAAAGGAGGTTATAAAGGAAGTTTGAAACCTCCTTTCCTTTCATCTAGAGAATCAGCACTTATCATGGCTGCCAGTGAGGGACTGCCGGGTCATTTCACTCCGTTAGGAAGGTTCCTAAGCTAAATGGACTATTGGAACGCAACCCTGGTTCTGGGCACGTTCAGGAGCAGTTGATCAGCTGACCTGAGAGGGCGATTGGGCGTGTTGACTATCAATCAGTGTCAGGGAGTGTCTCTGCATTCCTAGGTACAAGGGACATTTAGTTGTTCTGTTTATCACATCAGGAATGTGTTTTCTTGCCAAGGCCTGTCACAATAAGAACAGTTTTGGCAGGTGTGTTCAGGTGTGTGACAGGAGCTCAGGGGAGGAGAGTATCTGACAGAATATAAGTCACCTCACAACACCATATTCCAGCAGACTTGAAGCTCCCGCTGGAAGTCAGAAGACCCTCACACAACTCTGCTGATCTACACAACTTCACCAGGTGAGGACTAACAGACTATATATATAGATTTATAATAAAAACTTTACTTTTCTGTGTAAAACAGCAGCTGGATTAGTGTCTGCAGGGAAATACTGCATTACTAAGCACAGTTGAGAGTCAGACTCCAAGTGTTATTAACTCTCAACACTCCTACTCCTTAACAGACGTTTAAATCAGTTTCTGAAGTCTGTGTTGTTTCTTCTCAACAGGTTGGAGAAATGGCCTCAGATCACATTGAAGTTGCTGCTCTGGGACGACCCTTCACCCTAGGGATGCTCTATGATGCCCGGAGAGATACATTGATTCCAGGTAAGACTTCACTTTGTCACAAAACTTTCATCATTTTGTTGTCATGCCATTTTAAATGTTGTGTGTTATGAGAGTTGTTTATTTTCTCTCTTTGTCGTGCATCTGTGTATATCTGGATATGTTTCACTGCTTTTGTCAGTAGATTGTATTTTCTATGCATTTGATCTTAAATCTGTGTTTTTAGCTATTGCCTGCCCAGGGACAATTATGCCTTTCTGACTGACCGTAGAACAAACAAGAATTAAGGATATATCTGAGCATTTTTAACATCTGACCAAAAGGGATTTTTTTTCTGATTAATCTTTTTTCGATAGGAATTCAGAGAAAAAAGTCAGGCTTCTGATGCTATCAGATTTTTGAACTTTTTTTTTTAATTAAGTGTTCTAAATTTAAAGAATGCTTGAAAGGATTAGGGATTGGGATTTGTTTTTCTTTCTCAGAAGATCTTTAAACTCAGAACAAAAAAGAAACATCACTTTTGGTTAGATCTCCTCTGAGGAGGACTCTTCAGGATTCTGATTTTTTTCCTCAGAATTCAGATTTTAAAGAATGCTAGAGTACGGAAGAGTGTGAAACGTTTTTTGAGATCTGACCAAAAGTGCGTTTGTTTTGGGTTCTGTGGTTAAACTAAGAATTTTAAGAAAAAAGTCAGGTTACTGAGATTTTCCGATTATTATAATAATAATAACTTTAATCTCAGCACGAAAAAAAAATCGTGCGTACTGTAGAATTCTTTAGTTTTAGAATACTGACCTTACATTCAGAATTATAAGAAGAAAAAAAAAAGTTTTTCTTTTTCTTAGAATAACTTTAATCTTAGAACTCAAATAAAAACTGCTTTCATGCTTATTTATGTCTTTGTTTATGTTTATTTAGGTCTCACATTATGGAATCCTGAAACTCTAAAAGTAAAACAAACCCGTCAGCAGGGCAGTACTTTTGTAATGTCTGCATCTGACTCCACTGAATCAAAGTCCACTTTGCTGGATATTGATGCTTCTCTGAAGGCCAGTTTCATGAGTGGACTGATAAAAGTTGGAGGATCTGCCAAATATCTGAATGATGAGAAGAAATTCAAGAATCAGAGCAGAGTGACCTGTCAGTACAAAGCTACCACCAACTTCCAACAGTTGTCAGTGACTCAACTCAAAGTGATGAGCCAAGAACAAAGAGATCTCATCAAGAATGGCTTGGCGACTCATGTAGTCACAGGCATCCTGTATGGGGCAAATGCCTTCTTCGTGTTTGACAGTGAGAAGTTAGAAGCCAGCCAGGTTCAGAAGACAGAGGGCAGCATGCAAGCTGTGATAAAGATGATTCCTTCTTTAAATATTGAGGGGAAAGTTAAACTCAAGCTGACGGCTGCAGAGAAAGCCCTGACTGAGAAATTATCCTGCGAATTCCACGGAGACTTCATTCTTGAAAGCAACCCAGCAACATTTCAAGCTGCAGTGCAGACCTATGTAGAACTTCCACATCTACTGGGAACAGATGGAGAGAAAGCTGTGCCAGTGAAGGTCTGGCTGATGCCACTGAAACTGTTTGAACCTGCAGCTACTGGGGTAAGGACAGATATCAGCATCGAGTTAGTGAGGAAGGCGCAGGAAGCTCTGGAGGAGTTAAGGGAGGCAAAAATGAGATGCAACGATTCTCTGCAAGACAAAGTGGTAGAGAGTTTCCCAGAGGTCCGAAAAGACCTAAGCACTTTCCAAAATCTGTGTGGTTATTATAAAACCAACCTCCAGCAAGCCATGGCAGAGAAACTTCCCTCCATCCGTGAAGGAAAGGAAAAGGAGAGCTCACTGGAAAAAGTCTTTGAAGACAGGCACAAGTCACCCTTCAACCATGAAAAACTAAACAAGTGGCTGGATCACAAAGAGAGAGAACTCAACATCATCAAGTCCTTTGTCGACACCATGGAGGGAGTAAAGATCGTCCTGAACCAGAAGGAGCTGGACAGAGAGGTCCTTGCTTCAGGTGTAGAAGATGTTCTGTGCTTTGTTTTCACCTCCATGCGTAAGGGTGATAGCTACCTTGATGAGATGGCTGACTTCTTGAAATCACCCAAGTTAGGAAGTACCCATGAAGAGGAGTGGTACTACTCCGATGAAGCTTCTGAACACAATGAGAGAAAAAGCCACATTTCTCCAGGGTGCTTCCAAAGGGCTGAAGAACAACAGCAAATTCTGTTTCCTCATAACGGCCAAAACCAATCCCAAATACAAAGGAGCAAGCATCTACCACTACAAGAAAGGCCAGCCGGTCAATGAAGACTTTCAACGTCCAAAGCCTCCTTCTGTGGAGACCATCAAACACAAGAGAGATCTGATCTGGTGTAAGTCAGGCTTTTTTAAGTAAAAGATATGAGTTCTCCAGCAGTTTGACCATCAAAGTTACTGATAAGATATTTTGTTATGTTTTCTCCATCAGATGCCTGTGATCTCCACCTGGACCCAAACACTGCCCACAAAAAACTCACTCTGTCTCACGGAAACAAAAAGGCAACATATGGAAAAGATCAGAAATATCCTTCTCACCCACATCGGTTTGGAAAACAGCGACAGGTGTTGTGCAAAGAGAGGTTATCTGGGTGCCATTACTGGGAGGTCGAGTGGAGCACCAGTGGCAAGGAGTCTGTTTTTGCAGCTGTTACATACAAGGGAGCTGACGGAAATAAAAGTGACACGAAAAGGTTTGGGCAAGATTCAAAATCCTGGTGTTTCGGCAAAGAAAACCATATTAGGGCATACCATGACTCAAAGAGGGTGTTGGATGCAACTCATCTCCCTGGTGACTTCAGTAGATTCGGGGTGTATCTGGACTGGCCTGCTGGCACTTTGTCCTTCTACAGAGTCTCCTCTAACACACTGACTCACCTGTACACCTTTCGCACCAAATTCACTGATCCTCTTGTCCCAGGCCTCTTTGCTTATCATAATTCCAACTATGCCTACCTGTGTCCAGTTGAATTGTAAATGAACTGGATTTAAAAGCGCTCTTCCAGTCTTTACGACCCATCAAAGCGCTTTTACATTGGCAGCCATTCACACACATTCATAGAGGCAGAGGCTGTCACACACCTGCTCATAGCCTAACGTTCACACACATCTACACACATCCCAATATAACTTACACCTGCTACTCAAAATCAAAAATGCATTCAAAGAGGGACAGGGAAATGTTTTATTATTGCTTTCAACAATTGAGCTTGTATGATTGAGTATTCTGGGGAGTGGTCTTCACTGTACTCTGGTTAGAGTTCCCATTCATTAACATTGTGTGCAGTTATTGTCTGGTATGAAGCGGGTACACCTGTTGAACACCTGAGAGGTCAACATGTCCCAACTCCTCCCACTAAGGCAATGATGAAGAACTCTTAGCTTCTTGGTCGCTCTAACGTTTGAAATGCAACCTAACATCCCATTCTAACTTTAACGTGCTCCACAGAATCAAACATTCATTCAAACCCAGAGCGACCAGAACAAACGAGGATATTAAAAAGTGACTTGTTTATCAGTAAATGTTGATTTCATCATCTTCTCAAACTGTTTGAAGTCGATGCTTTACGAACAGTTGAACATATTTCTTCATAGGAACTTTCTATCGTAGTAACATATACTCAAGCATTATATATCCGGCAATCGCTCTGTCAAAACTGATGTTGAAATACAATATAAACATAATGGGGAACAATAGTTGCTTTTTCTGTTGAATTTATGCTCATTATTTTAGGACTTAAGGTACTTCAAGAGCCGATTGCTTTTGCTTTGTCTTTTTTTAAAGCGAGTTATATTTAGAGAACACAAGAGGAGTCTTTTCTCTCATGAAACCGGTGTGGGTGGGTTTCTCTGAGGTCAAGATTAGACATGCTTTATCAACATTAGAATGATGACATATGAAATCATAGTTTAAGTCAAAGACAAAGAATATCTGTTTTGTTAAATGTATCATTTTGATTATGTTGGGAATATCCTATCGCTTATTTCAGCATTTGTTTATTTCCTTCTTTATGCAGAACTCACAGCTCATGAAGAAAAATGCAGAACTTGTTTTGTTTGAGAGAATCACTGTTAACACCATGTAGTTGGAAATATTGCTGATGGTTATAAAGATGAAGCAACATCAGATTCCTGTAACACTTCAACATCTGGATATGTTCACTCTGTGCTTTAATAAAGAGACCTGACTTTACTCTGAGGGCCAGTTGTTGTTATTTATTGTATTCTGGAAGAAGTGTCTCATCCACTATATTCTGACTAACGGGGTCAAATCAAAGAATTGTGGCAAGTCCTTCACATTCATTGTATACTGGTAAATGTCCCTTCAGTGTATGCCTCTTGATCAGATACAAATGAGGGTTATCCGTTGCATTTACCTTTTTTGGTTCAAATGTCAAGCTTTGTCCGAGGTGGGAGAAGTCCTGCTACTAACTGAAGTATTAGGGACTTTTTTAGAACATTTAATTATCCAGAAATCTTTTATATTGTTTATATCTGATGTTCAGGTGTATATCAGTATGTAGTGTCTCTACTTTAAAGAGTCCTCTCCTGCTGATGTTCAGGTGTATATCAGTATGTAGTGTCTCTACTTTAAAGAGTCCTCTCCTGCTGATGTTCAGGTGTATATCAGTATGTAGTGTTACAAACGCTACATTAATGTAATAGTTCAGTTATTCGTGTAAAATGTTTGAATGCTGATCTGTCATATATCTTCTTTGATGATCTGCAGTTTGACAAGTTACTCAGTTATGCATTTGTTTCTCTGAACCGGTCTGAATGTCTTTGTTCCAGCTGCTTGTGTTTCTGCCTCCCGACTCTGAAGCAGCTCTGCAGGGATGCTGCATTCCTAACAACGCACACCTGGCGTACATTACCTTCAGCATCAGAAGGGAAAGGCCCTTCTTTGTTTTCTGTCTTCGTTCACTTCCTTGTTCCTCGAGTTTGTTTTTGACCTTTAATTTAAGGCCTTTTTAATTTAATGTTTAGATAGAAAACGAGGGAACACTTTAATCTAGTGCATTCACGCATTGGTTGGTCAAGTTGAATACATAAGAGTCTCCAACAAACATGAATTCCTTCATCAGAGTTGCAGAGTGTGGATATCCATTGCGTGGCCTTGGCTCGGATCTGCCAGACCTGCTCTGCCCTGATCTGCTTCTAGCTGTTAACGAGCTAGCAACCATATCGTTTGTGAGAAGTGTCCAGTGTTCCACATCTAACTTGTTGTGTTCGTATTGAGAGCACCATCCAGGTGCTTATAGTGCTTTGTGCCATACATAGGGAAGCACTGATAAACAGCACCTAATTCTGATTCTTACCCTCCATGGTATGTCTGGAAGGCCTGCCAGCTTCACAATCAGCTGCATTGGCTTGATTGTGTTGACATTGAACTGTATTCCAGAAATAACATGTCAACCAGTTTTCTGCTATTTCAGGCGTAGGGTGAAGTGCCAGGGCCAGCATACAATACAATACAGCTTTGTGTGTAAAGCACTTTAAAACCTCCAGACCGAAGTGCTGGAAAGTCAAATAAACAAACAAACATACAAAAAGTAACACAGCTCAGCGCACACACCATAAAACAAGTACAAGTACAAACAATAGACACTTTAAAAGCAACACTCTAAAATATGTTAATACGCTAAGGAGAAGAGGTGGGTTTTAAGAAGCGATTTAAAAGCGGCCTGTCTGATGTGCAGGGGCCATGGATGTATAATAAGAACTGGATACAGCGTGGGAGGCGGGGCCTCATTCATTCCTATGAGAGCTGCTCATTGGCGCATGATGATAAAATGGCCCAACTTTTGAGAGAACGAAACGTCACAGATTACCCGGCATGCCTGAGAAGTACCCGTATGTGCTACTCATAGAGCATGCGCAACTTTAACCAAAATGCTCGTTCACATCAAGCACGTCAATTTGCGTACACGTAACAGCACCGCGCGTTCATGACAGCATGGTAATGGATTGTTGTTATCATGGATTTGATATGAACGAGGCGGCAGTTAGCAGCTAGCGGCTAGCTAGTAATGATCTAGTGATATCCAACAGAGCTTCATTTAGCATGAAATTATTATTGCACTGTATATATATATATTTATATACAGTGCAATAAGCTTCTTAGTGCAATACGAAGCTACAGGGACGTTAATAATGTCGGCAATATTAACTTTATTTAATACAACATTTACGGTACAAGATTTAATCATTCAGCCCATGTAGTATGATAATGAATTACAGCAAACATGTGCAATATATCCATTATTACAGCTCCGTGGGATGGCAGTGAGACGATATGGATCCGTTCTTATTGTGCATCCATGGGTAAAGATAAACGCAACTCACATTGGTTCCTCACAGCATTTCTGTAAACTACGTGTATTCACTGAATTTCACTCTCTGCCTTTAACGGCTCGTTGTAGCTCCAAAAGCTCCAGCCCCACCCTGTGAGCACAGTGTGCTCTGATTGGTCGGGACACGTAACATGAACGTGCCGGGCGGCGCGGTCCCGTGGATTAGATGCGCGTTCATAATGCAGAGGGAAATAACTCTCAGAATAACGTTATTAGCACATTTTTACAACTTGAGGAACGAATGTTTTTAATAAGGGCTATACAAGTGTTCATACTGGGTAGTTTATTTAGTTTAAAAAAAATTATCCAACGAGTTACAGACCACTCTTTCCCCATGTAAGTCAATGGGAAAAAGTGTTTCCGGGCCTGGCAACCAAACGGAAGTGTAGTACCGCCGTTTGGCCAGCACGAATATTTTCATCTGAGTCCGGCGCACTACCTGGGGGCTTGGCAGGGGCAGATTGTTCCACAGTGTGGGAGCCGCGACAGAGAAGCCACCGCCCCCTCTGAGCTTTGACTGGGGTTGCGTTCCGATAATCCAAAAATCAGCTCCTAAATTCTAACCCTATCTCCTATTCCTTGACCTCTGAGTGAAAGGTCACGGGGTTAAGGGATAGTGGATAGGAGAATTCAAAAGGACTTAGGAGAAGAGACTGCGGTGCTTTAGAGAAGAGACTGCACTTTCACTATCCCACGTGTTTCTGATGCGCCAGCGGACGTCCTGAATGTGCGTCTGCTGCTGTGGGGTAACCATGGAAACTACAGTTCTCTATACAGCGGACTACAACATGGATGTTCAATAAGAACGAGGGACTCCTGTGAACTCATCTAGAGACTCTGTGCTCTGATGCTGTTGCTTTATGCTTTATGAACGTGGACAACAGAGAAACAGATTCTTCAGGACCAAAGCTGGAATTGAAATAAAAAGGAAAGTGAAACTTCTGCTCGTCCCCCTCTCCCTCCGGTCCACATTAATACAAATGATCCCAATACGTATGATTGATGAAAAGATCTTAAATCAATACAGATGTATTTATTATAAACGTTAGTCCTTAACATCTATCTCTGTGTATATCACCATTCAAACATCTTTTAAAAGTTGAACAAACCCCACAGCTCAGTAAAGACTGTGAGATGTTGACTTTATTTGATCATTTCAGTAAAAACTAACGTTCATATTTCTCTCTTTGATTATAATACTGATGAACGTTCAGAACAAAGCACTTTGGCAACTTACCACATACGTTTTAAAAAGCTTAATAAGCACCGTAACTTTCATGATATCATTTCTCCGTCATAATCGGTTGTTTCCGTGAACGGCCGACTGTTGAGTGACGGCAAATGCTGCGGCTGCAATGCATTGTGGGGCAGCATTTTCTCCTCTCCTCTCGGTTAGGGAGGTCCAGTGGTTCCTAAGCTAAAGGAGGTTATAAAGGAAGTTTGAAACCTCCTTTCCTTTCATCTAGAGAATCAGCACTTATCATGGCTGCCACTGAGGGACTTCCGGGTCATTTCACTCCGTTAGGAAGGTTCCTAAGCTAAATGGACTATTGGAACGCAACCCTGGTTCTGGGCACGTTCAGGAGCAGTTGATCAGCTGACCTGAGAGGGCGGTTGGGCGTGTTGACTATCAATCAGTGTCAGGGAGTGTCTCTGCATTCCTAGGTACAAGGGACATTTAGTTGTTCTGTTTATCACATCAGGAATGTGTTTTCTTGCCAAGGCCTGTCACAATAAGAACAGTTTTGGCAGGTGTGTTCAGGTGTGTGACAGGAGCTCAGGGGAGGAGAGTATCTGACAGAATATAAGTCACCTCACAACACCACATTCCTGCAGACTTGAAGCTCCCGCTGGAAGTCAGAAGACCCTCACACAACTCTGCTGATCTACACAACCAGGTGAGGACTAACAGACTATATATATAGATTTATAATAAAAACTTTACTTTTCTGTGTAAAACAGCAGCTGGATTAGTGTCTGCAGGGAAATACTGCATTACTAAGCACAGTTGAGAGTCAGACTCCAAGTGTTATTAACTCTCAACACTCCTACTCCTTAACAGACGTTTAAATCAGTTTCTGAAGTCTGTGTTGTTTCTTCTCAACAGGTTGGAGAAATGGCCTCAGATCACATTGAAGTTGCTGCTCTGGGACGACCTTTCACCCTAGGGATGCTCTATGATGCCCGGAGAGATACATTGATTCCAGGTAAGACTTCACTTTGTCACAAAACTTTCATCATTTTGTTGTCATGCCATTTTAAATGTTGTGTGTTATGAGAGTTGTTTATTTTCTCTCTTTGTCGTGCATCTGTGTATATCTGGATATGTTTCACTGCTTTTGTCAGTAGATTGTATTTTCTATGCATTTGATCTTAAATCTGTGTTTTTAGCTATTGCCTGCCCAGGGACAATTATGCCTTTCTGACTGACCGTAGAACAAACAAGAATTAAGGATATATCTGAGCATTTTTAACATCTGACCAAAAGGGATTTTTTTTCTGATTAATCTTTTTTCAATAGGAATTCAGAGAAAAAAGTCAGGCTTCTGATGCTATCAGATTTTTGAACTTTTTTTTTTAATTAAGTGTTCTAAATTTAAAGAATGCTTGAAAGGATTAGGGATTGGGATTTGTTTTTCTTTCTCAGAAGATCTTTAAACTCAGAACAAAAAAGAAACATCACTTTTGGTTAGATCTCCTCTGAGGAGGACTCTTCAGGATTCTGATTTTTTTCCTCAGAATTCAGATTTTAAAGAATGCTAGAGTACGGAAGAGTGTGAAACGTTTTTTGAGATCTGACCAAAAGTGCGTTTGTTTTGGGTTCTGTGGTTAAACTAAGAATTTTAAGAAAAAAGTCAGGTTACTGAGATTTTCCGATTATTCTCTGAATAACTTTAATCTCAGCACGAAAAAAGAAATCGATCCGTACTCTAGAATTATTTAGTTTTAGAATACTGACCTTACATTCAGAATTATAAGAAGAAAAAAAAAATGTTTTTATTTTTCTTAGAATAACTTTAATCTTAGAACTCAAATAAAAACTCAGAATTATTTCTCAGAAGTCTGAATTTATTTCACACACACATACTCTGCTTATTAAAACCTCTCACATGATAGGAAGGTGCAACCTGAACAACTTTGAAATTATATGTTTTATGTGAATTTATCAATGCTGTCAAAATTATCGCGTTAACGGCGGTAATTCATTTTTTGAATTAACTGCGTTAAAAATATTTAACGCATAACGCATGTGCAGAATGGCCCGCCCCATACATCCCACCAGTGGCAGCGCCAGGGTATGGCTGGGGTAGGCTACAGCCATACCAAGAAATGGCTTAGCCCCACCATGAAAAATGATGTTAAAGTCAGCTAAATAAAGTCTGCCAACTCGCGGAGTAAATTGCACAGACAGCACTTAGTAAGATTGATTTCAGCCACTTGTCTGGAAATACCAAAGACCAGAAACGGTTTTGAAAACTTTTGTCACGTAGTGATCGTCTTCTCAATAGAACATCTTTGATAATGTCTTCTGGCCAATCAGAATCAAGATAACGGCGTGGTGTTGTTGCAGGAAGACCCGACGGAGAATACTTTTGCTGCATCTCTATATACATCGATACAACATTACGTGTTGATAGAAATCAACACGTAATGAAATAAGACCCCACGGTTTGATGATTGATAGGTGTGTGGGATGTCTTTCATTTTGACACACAGAACAATGTTATAATAAACATACATACTTTATGTTAAATGGATATATCCGCCTTCTTTCATTTATCTTTCCCACAACAATATACATCAAGAAATGGCATATTTTGGACATAGTTCGAATGGTGATTAATCTGATTAATTAATTTTTAAGCTGTGATTAATCTGATTAAAAATTGTAATCGTTTGACAGCCCTAATATTTCTGCATGTTTTTTTAACCCTAACCCTAGAATTTATATAAACAAAAGTGTTTGCGCTGAACTGATCCGAAAAATGTATGCTTTCATGCTTATTTTACATTAAATTACATTACATTGCATTTAGCTGACGCTTTTATCCAAAGCGACTTACAATAAGTGCGTTCGACCAATAAAATACAAACTTGAAGAAAACAGAATCATATAAGTACATCAGGTTTCATAGAGCAAAAACATTTCAAGTGCTACTCAACTGGCTTTAGATAAGCCAGTCCTTTATTAGTATATAAGTGCTTTGTTAATAAATCTATCGCTCGAAGTGGAGTCGAAAGAGATGAGTTTTCAGTCTGGAAGGTGTGCAAGCTATCTGCTGTCCTGATGTCAATGGGGAGCTCATTCCACCATCTTGGAGCCAGGATAGCAAACCCACGTGTTTCTGCTGATGGGAACTTGGGTCCCCCTCGCAGCGAGGGTGCAGCGAGCCGTTTGGCTGATGCAGAGCGGAGTGCACATGCTGGGGTGTACGGTTTAACCATGTCCTGGATGTACGAAGGGCCAGATCCATTCGCAGCATGGTAAGCAAGTACCAGTGTCTTGAAGTGGATTCTAGCAGTTACCGGAAGCCAGTGAAGGGAGCGGAGGAGCGGAGTGGTGTGGGAACATTTAGGAAGGTTGAAGACCAGACAAGCCGCTGCATTCTGGATGAGCTGCAGAGGTCGGATGGCACATGCAGGTAGACCAGCCAGGAGGGAGTTGCAGTAGTCTAGGCGTGAGATGACGAGAGCCTGGACCAGAACCTGAGTGGCTTTCTGGGTCAGCTGGGGACGTATCCTCCTGATGTTGTAAAGCGTGTATCTGCAGCAACGGGTTGTAGCAGCGATGTTTGCAGTGAAGGACAGGTTGTTATCTAGGGTCACACCCAGATTCCTTGCAGTCTGAGTCGGGGAAACAACAGAGGTGTCGATGTTGATTGTTAGGTCAAGAGTGGGACAATCTTTTCCCGGAAGGAAAAGCACTTCAGTCTTGTCAAGGTTGAGCTTGAGGTGATGAGCAGACATCCACTGAGAGATGTCAGCTAGACAAGCAGAGATGCGTGCGACGACCTGGGTCTCTGAGCGGGGAAAGGACAGAATTAATTGGGTGTCGTCATCGTAGCAGTGGTAAGAAAAACCATGCGGGCTAATGACTGATCCGAGCGAGTTTGTGTACAAGGAGAAGAGGAGGGGACCAAGAACAGAGCCCTGAGGGACCCCTGTAGTTAATTGACAAGGGTCAGACTCGGACCCACTCCAAGTCACTCTGTAGGTACGGTCTTTGAGGTATGAGGTGAGGAGGGAAAGTGCAGAGCCTGAAACTCCAAGTTCTTGGAGAGTGCGAAGGAAGATCTGATGATTCACCGTGTCGAATGCAGCAGACAGGTCCAACAGGATGATGACAGAGGAGAGGGATGCAGTTTTGGCAGTGTGCAGTTCCTCCGTGACAGCAATGAGAGCAGTTTCTGTGGAGCGACCTGCCTTGAAACCAGACTGGTGCGGATCCAGAAGGTTGTTCTGATTGAGATAACAGGAGAGTTGTTTAAAGACAGCGCGTTCAAGTGATTTAGACAGGAACGGGAGGAGAGAGACAGGCCTGTAGTTTATAACATCAGACGGGTTGAGAGTGGGTTTCTTTAGGAGAGGGTTTACTCTTGCCTCCTTGAGACTGTTTGGAAAGTGACCAGAAGTTAGAGAAGTGTTGATGAAATGGGTGAGAAACGGTAGAATATCAGGAGCGATAGTCTGAAGGAGGTTTGAAGGGATAGGGTCCAGAGGACAGGTGGTAGGGCGGGCCGAGGTAATGAGGGTAAGAACCTCACTTGGAGAGAGAGGGGAAAAGGAGGTCAGTGTGTTGGTGGAAGGAAGGTCTGGTGACCCAGCGGTGAGTAGAGGTGAGTCAGAAAAAGAAGAGCGAATATCATCAACCTTTTTTTCAAAGTGGGTAACAAAGTCGCTTGACAGAAGTGAGGAGGGGGAGGGGCTTTGGGAGGGTCCAAGAGGGTGGAGAAGATGGAAAATAGTTTTTTAGGATTGGAATAGGAAGATTGGATCTTATCTTGAAAGAAAGTGCTTTTTGCCTGAGAGATCGAAGCAGAGAAAGAGGAGAGGAGAGCCTGATAGGTTAGGAGGTCGTCACGGTGTTTGGATTTCCACCGTTTCCGCTCCGCTGTCCGAAGGACGGTTCTATTAGCACGCAGTGCATCATTTAGCCAGGGAGCAGGAGGGGACTGACGAGCCTGCCGAGATGTGAGAGGACAGAGAGAGTCCAGAGAGGATGAGAGAGTAGAGAGGAGAGTTTCTGCAGCAGAGTTTGGAGGTAGGAGTTGGAACGAGTCAGAGGAAGGGAGGGCTGAGAGCACCGATGAGGCAAAGGTAGAGGGGGAGAGGGAGCGAAGGTTACGGCGGACAGGTGCAGGATGAGAAGAGATTAGTTTGTTATGTTTGGAAAGGGGTAGAGAGAATGAAATGAAGAAGTGATCGGATGTGTGGAGCGGGTTTACAGAGAGGTTAGAAGTAGCGCAGTTCCTTGAGAATATGAGATCAAGGACATTGCCAGCTTTATGAGTCGGTGGGGACGGAGACAGTGAGAAAGCAAAGGCGGTTAACAGAGATGTTAGTTCGTCTATCTTCCCTGTCTGGAGGTTGAAGTCTCCGAGAAGTACAGCGGGAGGGCCAGTTTCAGGGATGAGTGAGAGGAGATTATCTAATTCCTCCAAGAAGTCCCCCAAGGCGCCTGGTGGACGGTAGAGAACAACAATGGTTAATTGTATAGGATGGGTTACTGTGACGGCATGGAATTCAAAGGTGGAAGGAGTGAAGTTAGGTAGCTTGAAGAGGGAAAAGCTCCATTTTGGAGAGAGCAGGAGACCAGTGCCACCTCCTCTGCCAGTGGGTCTGGGTGTATGGGAGAAGGAATATGCAGTGGAGAGAGCTGCTGGGGTGGATGTGTTGGATGGAGTAATCCAGGTCTCAGTGAGAGCAAGGAAATCCAGAGACTGCAGGGAGGCGTAGCCAGAGATGAAGTCAGCCTTAGGAACAGCTGACTGGCAGTTCCACAGGCCACCTGAAACTAGATGTTGGATCTCAGTGGAGCATGTGGGATAGACGAGAGCAGGCCGGTTATATCGATTAGGAGATACACGGGGCCAGTGATAATTGAGAGAAGACACATAAACAGGAATGAAGAAAATACACATGATTATAGCATGAGGGGCTAAACAACCAAATAAAATAAATCACCAGCGATACTTAGCTCAATCAAAGTAGGATTTGCCTCCTCTTTGCCTCCCTCGTGACTCCCGCAGGACTCCAATGTCTTCGTCAGTCTTACTCCCGCAGGACTCTAATGTCTTAGCCTGTCTGACGCTGAAGCTGACGCTCCAGGAAAGAGCTACCTAAAATGGACACCTGATTGCTGAGTTCTCACAGCTGTGGGGCCACGCCCCTTTAATTAGTTAACTCTCTGCAGCTGGTGGCCCTTTAAAGGAAATCTAGACTGGCTTCCTCCTGACTTGTTATTGTCTTTTAAGTGGCCCAATGGTTTTACAATTACATTAAACCCTAAGTTATAAAGTTATGAGTTTAACCCTTAATACAGTTACACCTACTCAATAAAGCTCTTAGTATTCTACAAATGTTTAAATCAAAGTTAACCCTAGCAGTCAGTTAGTTCACTTTTAAGGTTTCCGTCAAATGACTTGTCCCAAGTTTCTCCCTGACAGATACTGTAGCGGTTTTGAGTTTTGAAATCACAATTCCAGTCAGATCAACTACAGAGCATTGATACAGAGTACACACACACACACACACACACACACACACCACACACACACACACACACACACACACACACACACACACACACACACACACACACACACTGAAACAGAGAAATCTAAAAACAGAATGTTACTCACACAATTCTAGAAGTCTCCAGTTGTTATCCTGTCAAAATCGAGTTGCACACTTTGTCTATGTCTTTGTTTATGTTTATTTAGGTCTCACAATATGGAATGCTGAAACTCTAAAAGTAGAACAACAAACTCAGGCCGGCAGTACTTTTGAGATTTCTGCATCACTCCTTTTTGAACTGACCTGAAAAACATGTGCTTTCATGTTTATTTATGTCTTTGTTTATTTAGGTTTCAAATTATGGAATGCTGAAACTCCAAAAACAACCCCTCAGCACAGCAGTTATTTTGAAATGTCTGCATCTGACCCCATTAAATCAAAGACCACTCTGATGGACATTGATGCTTCTCTGGAGCTCAGTTTCCTGTGTGGACTGATAGAAGTTGGAGGATCTGCTGAATATCTGAATGATGAGAAGAAATTCCAGAATCAGAGCAGAGTGACGTTTCAGTACAAAGCTACCACCAAGTTCAAACAGTTGTCAATTGATCATGTGACCCTGGACACCAAACAGATGGAGGTTATTGAGAAGGGCTTGGCCACTCATGTAGTCACAGGCATCCTGTATGGGGCAAATGCTTTCTTTGTGTTTGACAGTGAGAAGTTAGAAGCCAGCGAGGTTAAGAAGATAGAGGGCAGCATGGAAGCTGTGATAAAGAAGATTCCTACTTTAAATATTGAGGGAAGTGTTGGCATCGAGCTGACTGATGAAGAGAAAGCCCTGACTGAGAAATTATCCTGCAAATTCTATGGAGACTTCATTCTTGAAAGCAACCCAGCAACATTTCAAGATGCAATGAAGACCTATGTAGAACTTCCACATCTACTGGGAACAAAGGGAGAGAAAGCTGTGCCAGTGAAGGTCTGGCTGATGCCACTGAAACGGTTTGAACCTGCAGCTAGTGGGGTGAGGACAGATATCGGCATCGAGTTAGTGAGGAAGGCGCAGAAAGCTCTGGAGGAGTTAAGGGGGACAAACATGAGATGCAACGATTCTCTGGAAGACAAAGTGGTAGAGAGTTTCCCCGTGCTTCAGGAAGAGTTGAGCACTTTCCTCAAACTGTGTGGTTATTATAAAACCAACCTCCAGCAAGCCATGGCAGAGAAACTTCCCTCCATCCGTGAAGGAAAGGAAGATGAGAGCTCACTGGAAAAAGTCTTTGAAGACGGGCACAAGTCACCCTTCAAACATGAAAAACTAACCAAGTGGCTGAGTAACAAAGAGAGAGAAATCAACATCATCAAGTCCTTTGTCGACACCATGGAGGGAGTAAAGATCGTCCTGAACCAGAACGAGCTGGACAGAGAGGTCCTTGCTTCAGGTGTAGATGATGTTCTGTGCTTTGTTTTCACCTCCATGCTAAAGGGTGATATCTACCTTGATGAGATGGCTGACTTCTTGAAATCAACCAAGTTTCGAAGTACCCATGAAGAAAAGTGGTACTACTCCGAAGAACTTCTGAACACAATGAGAGAAAAAGCCATATTTCTCCAGGGTGCTTCCAAAGGGCTGAAGAACAACAGCAAATTCCGTTTCCTCATAACGGCCAAAACCAATCCCAAATACAAAGGAGCAAGCATCTACCACTACAAGAAAGGCCAACTGGTCACTGAAGATTTTCAAAAGCCTTCTTCTGTGGAGACCATCAAACACAAGAGAGATCTGATCTGGTGTAAGTCAGGCTTTTTTAAGTCAAAAATATGAGTTCTCCAGCAGTTTGACCATCAAAGTTACTGATAAGATACTTTGTTATGTTTTCTCCATCAGATGCCTGTGATCTCCACCTGGACCCAAACACTGCCAACAACCTTCTCACTCTGTCTGACGGAAACAAAAAGGCAACACGTGGAGCATCGCAGAATTATCCTCCTCATTCAGAGAGGTTCGGAAAATGCCCACAGGTGTTGTGCAAAGAGGAGTTATCTGGGTGCCATTACTGGGAGGTCGAGTGGAGCACCGATGGCAAGCAGTCTGTTTATGCTGCTGTTGCATACAAGATAGTTCAAAGAAAAAGCAGAAAGTTTGGGTATGATTCAAAATCCTGGTGTTTTGGCAAAGGTTTGTCGTTATTCGACCACTCTCTTAGGGCATACCATGCCGATAAGAAGGTGTGGGAAGCACCCCATCGTGGCGTCAGGAGAATCGGGGTGTATCTGGACTGGCCTGCTGGCACTTTGTCCTTCTACAGAGTCTCCTCTAACACACTGAGTCACCTGTACACCTTTCACACCACATTCAAGGAGCCTCTTCTCCCAGGCCTCTGGGCTCATTTTGATTCCAACTATGCCTACCTGTGTCCAGTTGAATTGTAAATGAACTGGATTTATACAGCGCCTTTCCAGTCTTTACGACCCATCAAAGCGCTTTTACATTGGCAGCCATTCACACACATTCATAGAGGCAGAGCCGGTCACACACCTGCTCATAGCCTAACGTTCACACACATCTACACACAGTCGGCCATTCTTGGTCTGCCTAAAGTTTAAATGAAAACCTATAATATCCCAATTTAACTTTAACGTGCTACTCAAAATTAAAAATGCATTCAAACCCAGAGGGACGGGGAATGTTTTATTATTGCTTTCAACAATTGAGCTTTCTTTCATGAAGTATTCTGGGGAGTGGTCTTCACTGTACTCTAGTTAGAGTTCCCATTCATTAACATTGTGTGCAGTTATTGTCTGGTATGAAGCGGGTAAACCTGTTGAACACCTGAGAGGTCAACATGTCCCAACTCCTCCCACTAAGGCAATGATGAAGAACTCTTAGCTTCTTGGTCGCTCTAAAGCAGGGGTCGGCAACAGGCGGACCGCGGTCTGGATCCGGACCCAGACGCCGACCTATACCGACCCGGAGCTATAATCAATACATTAATAGGGGATTTGTCGGCGCCTCCCGCTTTTTTAACGCTGATTTGGGTGACTTGCGTAATTCGTGGAGAACCGAAGAGTTTTCGTTTTGGGGGTGGGGGGGAGGGAGTCCGTCCGTCAGTCCGACTGACGGACAACTTCTCACTTCAAAAAAGAAGAAGAAATCTAGACCGCAAAAATAATTAAACAAGCGAGTACCTGTTTTTCCTGGCCAAGGACAGGTTCCTTGAACACAACACGAGCGTAACGTGTCTTCACGTGGTATATGTCTCGTCTGAAAGGAGTGCTGACAGAGAGCACCGGAACGCCGCTCCAGCCCTTAACATATTGCAATACCCATAAGGAGCCGTACACATGCCGCAGTGTTTGCGTGGCTGTGTCTTTAGTTGTAAGCACAGTGGCGATCTGTTGTTATTAGCATCTGGTTAGCTAGCTATGCTAACGAATTTAAAGAGCTTTTCTACAACCAGGTGGAAGAGAGCTCTCTCCTGAGAGGCTCAAATAACCTCAGCTCAGTGAGGTTAAGGCAGAGATGTTCACAAGTCTTTTTTTGCAAGTCCAAGTCAAGTCTCAAGTCTTTGGTCACGAGTCCAAGTCAAGTCTCAAGTCTTTGTGGGGTGAGACTTGATCAAGTCTCAAGTCTTTGGTCACGAGTCCAAGTCAAGTCTCAAGTCTCTAAAAAATAAAAGTCTCATGTCTCTTCTGGTTGTAATAAGCCTTCTATTGTCTGCTGCTATCCAGTCTGTTAAGAATACTGCACAGCTATATCTAAGAAATTCAAAGCATGTACTGTATTATTATCACTCCTATATCTATTAGCATACAGTATCAGTACTGATTAGTTGTTATATGATCACTTTAAACAGGCTATTGCAATATGAGGACAAACATCACACTTTAGCTAAATGCAAACAACTTATAAGCAAAACACTTCAGAATCAGAATCACAAATACTTTATTAATCCCCCGCAGGGAAACTGTGTTAAAAGTACTTAAAAGAAAACATTTGTTCTTTGCAACTAAAAAACTATTGCTGCAATATTATCTGAAATATACTGAACTGGTGATATTAAAACATGACCTGTTCCAAAAGAGATATCTACCATTAACACCATTTACCAGCCAAATGCTGGTAAATCATGCAAGTGGCTGGTACTGTATGTTGCACGCACCAGCCACAAATAACAATGGCAATCTATTGAGTGGCTGGTAACATTTCAACATGAGGCTAGGCTAGCCATTTGGCCAGTGGACAAAAATGTTAAAATGTGACCTCTGCAACCGTATTGTTTAATTACACTGGGTCTCTAATGACATCTTTTAAGTCTACTATAAATAAACATATTCCTCTATCCTCTCACTCAAACCCAGTGTAATGGTAACCTGATAAACCTGTAACATTAACGTTACATGGTCAACAATAAACCAGTAACCTGCCTATAAACCGACAGATGTATTTATGTATGTAACTATGTATTTTTCTACGTTTAACGTTAGCCAGTAGATGGTGGCAGCGGAACGTAATGATTAACGTTACCGACCTTTTTTATGTCATGTCAAGAGTTGGATGTCAACGCCACTCAACGCAAACAAGTGTGACAAGCAAACATTCACTCCTCTTTTCAAATATTCAGTTACAAAGCTAGTAGCAAGCTAAGTTAACATTACATAGCTGATGCTGAGCTAAACATGTTTGCTAACCGTCCATATGCGTTAATGTGACTGACCTCTCCGGCAGTGGCGGCGCCAGAGATTTTCTCTAGGGGGTGCTGTGGGGTAGCTTGACGTTTCATAGAGGGTGCTCAAACATTAAGGGTTTCCCATTAATGCACCAGCGCTACAGTTTAATTTTATACTGCAACACTCCCCACACACACACACAGTGTACCCGCGACTGTTACAATGAAGGCTCGGTAATCAGCTCACGGCATATAGGTGTGGGTAAAGTGCTATTTTTACAAGTGGGGAGTGGACCTCACCTCCTCTAGGAGGCTCCTCACCTCCTCTAGGAGGGTCCTCACCTCCTCTAGTGGGGAAGATTTTTTTTTTAATATTGAAGTTAAAAGCATCAATCTGGTGCACTTTGAGAGCCAAAATGAAGAGATCTATGGATATACAGTATCTCTCAACATACATATGAAACAGAACTGTAAACAGATTTTCTATTTCTTTATAGATATTTTACAAATCACTCCCCTTTTAAAACAAATCATTTGAGACCCACTGAGATAACTAGACTAAAGTTAACTAAACACTGAGAGTCCTTTACTTCACCTGAGCTGAGGTTATCTGAGACTCTCAGTCTGACAGGAGAGAGTTCTCCCTCCACCTTGTTGTTGAAAAAGCTCCTTATATCCGTTAGCTTGGCTAGCTAGCACCAGATGCTAACCACAACGATCTCCGGTAGATACCCACCGGTGCGCTCTCTCTCTCGCTCGCTTGCGCACGCACACAAAATGGCTCGTGCCACACACACACAGAGCAGATCTTGAATGAAACAGACCCAGAAGGCCTATTATGTGCAGAATCCCTCTCGCTTTTAGGTGGTTTTGATTGAGTGTCCACACGTGGACGTTTAAGGACTAAAAAACGATCCATTTGTCACTTTGCTGTTAGCAAATAATTTGGGGCTCCAGCTAACAGGAAGTCACTCAAGTGTCACAAAGTAATTTACCCTATGGGTAGGTCAAAAATCGAATGGGTGCTGGCCATTGGCCTAATCATATCACCTGTGTTGGCTTTATGTTTTTGGTCAAACATTTATTTGTTTCACATTTGCATTGATGTAATCAATACTTTTTCTGATTTAATTTAATAAAAATAATAATAATTTTCGAAAAAAAACCAAAAAAACACATATTTATTGGGGGTGCTTAGGGGGTGCTTTGGCAATCCTGGGGGGTGCTTCAGCACCCCCTAGCTCCCCCCTGGCGCCGCCCCTGCTCTCCGGGTGAGTTTTCAAGTGCCTGATGAAATTTGACGTTGTTGCACCAGCATCCTTGATTTTAATATTGCAGACTTTGCAGTGTGCGCTCCTTTTGTTGGTGCCGCCGGCGTTTTTGTTAGAAGTTTTTATAGTTGAACCTAATTACAAGCGGTACAGCTGCAGATGTGCCGCCGGTCGCCATGGTGTTACCATGATGTTAATGTTAAAGGTGGGGTAGGTACGTTTGAGAAACCGGCTCGAGATACACTTTTTGTTATATTCCATGGAATGCTCTTAACATCCCGATAGCCGGCCCGGCTAAAGTAACTGGATGGCCTACCTGCCTGTCAGCCTTCCATCGGGGCACAAACTTATCTCGTGCCCTCATTGGTCATGTGCTCGTTCGTGTGTGCTGGAGGAGGGGCTCTGTGAGGAAGTGGCAGATTTTCTCCGGTTGTGTATTTTCAGATTCTAGCGATCTCGAGCCGGTTTCTCAAATGTACCTACCCCACCTTTAATACGCCAAAAATAGAAAACACAATGATTGTTCACGAGTCCCAAAACACGATTCCAAGTCGAGTCCGAAGTCTTTTGAGCAGGAGTCCAAGTCAAGTCTGAAGTCTCTGTGTGTGCGACTTAAGTGCGACTCGAGTCCGAGTCTCAGACTCGAGTCCCCATCTCTGGGTTAAGGCACACCTTGATATGATCATTATAGTTATTAATGAGACTAAATGAAAAACAGGTATAAAATACTATATGACAGTAACAAAAAAGTTGTTAAAAATAACAAGAATAGAGTTTAAAAGGGGAGTGATTTGTAAAATATCCAAAAAGAAAAATATGCTTACAGTTCTGTTTCATATGGGTGTTGAGAGATGTATCCACAGATCTCCTCATGTTGCTCTCAAAGTGCACCAGATTGATGCTTTTAACTTCAATATTTAAAAAAAATCTTCCCAGGGGAGCATGCCCCCGGACCCCCCTAGAGGAGGTTAGGTCCTCCCCACTTAAATCATGTTCACATGGATAGGATACTAAATACATTTGCACACATCTTGTGTCCATATCTTTCTGTGTGGTGGTCACGCCACACCGTGCACGTGCATGCATGCGTGAGTCATGGTGAGATATCTGGATTCAGAGGTTGCTTTTTCTTTGCACAGCATGAAAGAAAGGCCAAATGAATGGGCTGTGATTTTAGTTTTTTTAAGCAAAGGTTGAGTTCAATCATTTGTACGACCCTTGGAGGATGTTGTAAACATTGAAAGGAAAAAGGTGCCCCACCCCTGCTGTAAATAATAATAAAAACCCTTGATGTATAACTTAACATCTCTGTCTGCTATTGATCTGAGTATATTATAAAGAACAGTTCATTGAAGCATTATAGCACAGGCCTTTGTCAGATGGTATTACGCTGTTTTTTTCTGCTTCGAATAGTTCTCTCTTTTTTCACCATACCTGTGTTTGCATCACTGAAACCAATGAGCTAACCGAGGCTAACCAATGAGCTAACCGAGGCTAACCAATGAGCTAACCGAGGCTAACCAATGAGCTAACCGAGGCTAACCAATGAGCTAACCGAGGCTAACCAATGAGCACCTGCATGTGTGTGAGAATGGCCCTGACACCATTTCAGCCCAGA